AGAAGAGGTGGGGTTTATGCCCTTTCCAGTAGGCCCAGCCAAAAGCAAACTGCTGCAGCTGCTTCTAGCTTGTGTGTTCTTCTTCATTAACAACTTTTGCCATCTTGACCACACTCTGAAGTTGCTTGGTCATGCATCTACTGGCTTTCGCTATATTGGAGGATACCTACAATTGTGGAAATTACAACTGAATCTGGATCCTGACATGTCACAAGCAGAGACAATTGGGCATCATGCATGCTTATGAAAGATAACCCAGCATGACAACCAAAAACATTATTAGCAAAACAATCACTAATGAATATAAACAGAAAAGGGGAGAACAATATAAGAGAGAAAAATAAAACAAAAGTAAAAAAAATATGATTCCTAGTAATTGTGACTTATTGCTAGGTCTAAACACTCACCTAAGCACAAAGTTATGCATAAATTAGCTGTGCTGAACAGTGCTGGCTGACTTCGATGGCTTGAACAGGGATGCACTTGCTTTGAAAGATGCCTTTGAAAGCCCTTGCTTTCAAAGCTCCCAAATACATTTGGCTTGATTTCTAACTGAGGCGGCAGGGACACAGAGAGAAATAGTAGAACCATTCACAATTGCAACACTTCTAAAGACCAAACTAGACATGACAGTAGTTGGAAAAAGTATTGATTTTTTGGACCACTTCCAGGATGTCCTAGCCAACATGGTCACAGTATAATGGTGGCTGGCTGAGGAATTCTAGGAATTGCAGAATAAGTTTTCCAAGCTCTGGTTAGTTGTATGTAAGCAATTAGTGTGAGGAGTTTCAAAATGCAGTTGGGTCATTTTTGGCTATCCGTGCAACCCAGTGTGTCTGGAGACCCTCCTTGCTCCAAAATGGATGTTCACAGCATGTTTTCTTTTTAAAATCCACTTGCTCAGACTGTTTAGGAATGCTGAATGTTTCTAGGTCTGAAAACTTTCCCTTTCCCTGCCCTAAAAGATAGTGCTTACAGCTCTTTTTAAAATGCACTTGCTTATAAACATGCTATAAGTGCTGGACATGCTACATGGATCTTGACAATTCTCCCTGCTCAGAAATGCTTGAAACTTTTTTTGTCTGTCTTCTGTTGTAGATTTAACAAATAGTACCGACATGCCTCAAGAAAGTAGAATATATATTCATGAGAAAGCTTTGTTGTTGTTGTTATCTGCCCTCGAGTTGACCTTGACTCACGGTGACCCTGGGGATGAGACATCTCCAGGTCCCCCTATCCTCTATTGCTCTGTTTAGGTCTTGTAGATTCAGGCCCATGGCCTCCCTTGTTGAGTCTAACCATCTGGTGTTTGGTCATCCTCTCTTTCTGCTTCACCTTTCCTAGCATTATTGTCTTTTCCAATGATTCATCACTTCTCATGATGTGGTTAAAGTATGACAGCCTCAATTGGCTTCCAGGAAGAGTTCTGATCAAGGATCTATTTGTTTGCCTTATTGGCTGCCCGTGGTATTCTCAGCACTCTTCTCCAGCACCACATCTCAAATGAATTGATTTTTTTGTTATCCAAAGCAAAGCAGCTTCATTTAGCAAAGCAGCTTCATTTATATACCGCTTC